AAAGTTGCCAAATTCATATCCTTCTTGGATGAAGTCAGAAGAGTGGTGGAGGAATGAGGATATCTAAGTAATCAAAATAAGAAGATGTTAGAACCACAGCCCCGGTCTGAAGAGCCAAGCCCTTGGGATAACCTAGGAAGCTGCCTCCCACTGCAATTCTGAAGGGCTCAGGTCGTTAAGGAGCTCCCAGAGGATGACTTTGCCCTCCATGTCCCTTTAGTTTCTCTGTCCCTCTGATTTTGCATGAACTAATGGCAGTTCTAGACTGCCAGACAGTGTAAAAATAAGACAGGGAGAAGATTGCTCACAAGAACAGATACATAATGAGTGAGATGTGCCTGCAGACTTCTCCTTGCAGGGGTCTGCACCGAGCATCTGGAGTTTAGCCAGGGCCTGTTTTCATGCCCAGACTGCCTTCTTGGAGCATGTCCTTGCACACTGAAACCCGTTTCCCCACAGAACTTCTCCCTCGGCCATTCTTTTCCTCAGGAACATTCCTCCTTTCTAGTCAGCAGGTGAGGCAGTGATGCTGCAGAAACACAAGTTCTCAAGGGATGACCAGCCTGACCGCAGCCTGCCTCACTTGCCATGGGTTTGTTTCATCACAGGGTAAGGAAAGTCTGCAGGGCCTGGTAATCATAAACTATGAGTGCAGCTCTGAGTACCTGCATGTACCTAAGAAACGGAAACTTGGAATGGCAGTTTTGCCAGGAACAACTCTCCTCATTAATCAGGACAGATTTCACTGTCCGTTGTTCATTTAAAACAGGCATGTGAAAGGAGTTTGGCATTTATGAGGAATTTCTTGTTTCATTTCTCCTCATCACTTCCCGGGACCCTGTGAGACCAGGGAACTGAAGACTCAGACCTCTGACCTGAGCTCCTTCGTGGGCTTTGTCTGTGATATGGGAGTAGGCTGCCTCAGACGTGTCAGCCAGATGCTGACCAGGAGAGACCAGGAGGCCAGTTTAGACACATGCCAGCACACAATAATCTTATGTGAGGAACTTGGTACGACCCGGAGGGTTCTTGAGACCAATGATGAGTGTGGCAATAGAGTCCTGGAAGGAAGTAGGTTAGCACAGGCACTGCCCAGCAGAGTCCAGCTTCACTCCCCCCAACCCCACAACTGTTTCCAGAGCTCAGGGCTGGAAGTACTCTGAGTGTATTTCACTAAATGTTCCTTTATCTTTTTATTTTTTGAGTTGGAGTCTCACTGTCGCCCAGACTGGAGTGCAGTGGCTGCTCCCGGCCACCGCAGCCTTGACCTGCTGGGCTCCGGCGATCCTTCCACCTCAGCCTTCCGAGTAACCGAAACTACAGGCACGCGCTACCAAGCCCGGCTAATTTTTTTGATTTATTGTAGAGATGAGGTCTCGCCTGCCCAGGTGGGTCTCGAACCCGCGGGCTCAGGCAATCCACTCACCTCAACCTCCCAAAGGCGCGGGATTACAGGCTGAGCCACCGAGCCCGGCTTCCTTTATCTTTTTCAGGCTGTTCTGCATTAGAACTGTTTGCCCAAGGCTTTGCAATACTTAAAGCACATTAAGAACTTTCTTCCAGTCTCAGAAAAGGGTTTTGTCAAAAATCAACAGCTTGGAACCCAGAGCTCTGGCCAGACAGAAGTTTCTAATCCTTAAGAGCTGTTGATGTCTAGACATGCTTTCAAAAGCTTTCCACTGCTGTCTTGTCCTCCTGAGAGTTCACCCTCCTCACAGGTGCTGTTAGTCATCTTAGAATTCTTGTGAGATAGGTAAGCTCCAATTTTCTAAACAAGGGCTGATAGTGCTGTCCAAGCCCTCCCAGAGCAGAGATGAGTAGGACTTCACTGCCCACCTTTGGCTAGTTTAAGTTTAGCAGACTGGCCCAGTACCTGTTCCCTTTCACAGCCAGGTCCTGGAGAGGCAGAGCATAGTGTGTCCACAGTCCTCTGGGAAGGGAGGGAAGGACATAAAATCTCCAGATTTTTAGTACTGTGCGAAGACCTGGCAGATTTGGCCACTGGACTCACATACCTGTCAGCAACACTGGCTGGGTAGAGAGCAGGCTGTCCCCTTTGGTTGAGGGGGGGCAGGGGGACCTCCATTCGCTGCAGTCCCTGTTCAGCCAGCGCTACTCATCATCCCATCTGATTGTCATCAGCATGAGTTAGTACCCCACCCCCAATTAAAAGATGCTAGACCGCCATTATCCATGCTGATCCTTGATGTGTTAACAACGCTTAGTAAGAACTATATATCACTTAGTGTTTTTATTTCCTAAACAGGCTTTTGAGTTTATCGGATCTGTTTGCCTGCTTTAGATATTTCACAGTTATGTAAAAACAACAGAACAAACATTTGAAAGCACTTACATGTTTTACTCCAAAAATAAACATAACTGTCTTTACTGCTTACTGAGGTGGTTTTTTAAAAAGTGCAGCCAACAAAGCAGAGGTGTGTGTTGCTGGAGTGGGAGGCAGAGACGGTGATGAGGTGTCCCTCATGAGTCCCTTGTGCATGAGTAGGAAGGCATATGAGTTACCAACAGGAGGAAAAACCCTTTCTGGGGAGGCTGGCCCTTCTAGAAAGCTGCCTCACATGCCAGGAACCCCACCCGTTTCAGTCTCTGACATGTCTGTGAACCCGTGTCCAGGCCCACCCTTTTTCTGCCCTCCCTCTAGGCTCTGTCACTCACACCCACATTACCTCACATGGACCCTCCCCTCTGCTTCCCTTTCCCAGGGTGAAGTACATCACCACACCTAGGAACCACTTCATCAAAAATGGGGGAGGAATGAGGAACCCAATTGCTTCAGGTGGCGGCTGAACTGCTCCCCACATGATTCCTTCAGTTTCGGGAAACAGAATGATGTGTCCTGCAACGGTTTGTTTGGGAGGAGTGGGACTGATGAGATTGGAGGAGAGTATCTCAAAGCACCTACAGACAGTTGCTACTCTGTAAAGATGGGGATTTATGGTTCTAGACTTTGGATGGTTAAAATATGAAAACTCAAACTAAAGCCAAGGAGAAAAGGTGGAAGAGGATGAACGTGTTCTGAGAGGCAGTGTCTAGGGGCAAAATTCCCTCATCTTGTTGAGTGGCGGTAGGAGAGGGAGGTTATTTGGGATCTCATCTCCTCCAGCCAGGCCTGTACTCGGTGATCACCTTTGTGTGAGAAACTCAGGGCATTTCTGGGTTTTGAGCACACGACTTGGGTTTCTTAAGAAACTATTTTCTGCGAGACCTTGAAATCTTTGCTCCCAGGGCTGCATGGTTACCTTTTGGGGAGGCTGAGCACTAATGGCTTGTTTATGAGGCTGGCCTCACTAAGCCAGGGAACCTTGTCAAATTTTGGAACACAAGCCTGGAAAGAAACAGAAAGAGTTCATTTTGCAAACCTGATCACACTTGATCACTGCTATCCTCATGATGACCTGAGTAAGCTAATAGCAGCCATACGCAGCCAACACTTTACAAAACCCTGGTATATTCACATTCGACTCTTTTAAGCATCCAGTAAAGTAGCCAAGCACAAACAGTGCTGTCTCCATTTCACTGACGAAGACGACCAGGCTCGGACGGTGCGATCCGCCCGAGCTGCAGTCTTCCGACGCTTGTCTGCACCGTCCCGTGACCTGCGATCTCCCGACTCCCTTGCTACTCCCACCTGCCTCTGCGTCCTCCAATATCCCCACTCACTCAGCGGGACGCCAGCCCTTGACGTGTTTTCAGACAGGCCTCCTCCCCTCCGCCTTTCGGGAAAGAACCGAGCCCCGAAGCCAGCTCGCGGGGCTCGGGTCTGGGCCCTCCGCTCCGGATGCGGCGCTGCGGCGCCGACGACCTCCCGAGCCCCGGCTCGCGCTGGGAGAGGGCAGAGCCGCCAGCGCTCAGGCCGGACCGCCGAGGGGCGCGCGAGGGCGGGGGCTCCCGCGTGCTTCGTTCCCTGCGGGGGGCGAGCACCCAAGCCAGCCGCGACTCCGGCAGGGGCCCGCGGGCATCGCGAGGGCGGCGGCCGGGGCCGGAGCTCCGCCGCCGTGTCGGTGACTGCCTCCTCCCCGCCCGGCCTCCGCCCCTGTCCTCTGGCCGCACCCAGCCCTCCGGACGGCAGGTCCTCGTCGCTGTCTGGGAGCGAAGCACCCAGGTCCCCGACCGGGAGCCACGGGCCGACCTTGCGGACCCCCGACCAGGACGCGGCGCTCACGACGCGGAGGCTCGCGGACCCGGAAGCGCTCGCCGCGGGCGCGACCCCGGAAGGGGAAGGAGGCGGACGGCCCTCTCCGGCCGCGCGCCCCGTGAACTCGCGGCCGGTTGGGTCCCGTGTGGACATCGGCGCTTCCGGGGCTCCCCCTCCGTGCCCCCGCGGGCCCGAGGCTGGGTGAGGGGCGCCGGGTGTGGAGGTCGGGGGGACAGGGCTCCTGGCCCTGGATAGTCGCGGCTTGTGGCTCAGCCCGCTGTGGGAAGGGCCTGCAGCGCGCCACCGGCTCGGCAGGGTGAGAGCGCTGCCGGACGCCAAGCCCGGGCGCGGGGAGCCGGTGGTTTCCTTGAGTGCCTGGCGTCTCCTCGTCCTCGATGGGGCGCGTTTGGACCAAAGTTTCCCGGGCCCGTGAGCCCGCAGGCGCTGTGGATTCCGTCCCGTAATTCGCACACGCCGGGACATCGTGCAGAGCCAGGAGCCAGAGAGGCGCGGGCGGGGGCAGGCTTCAGCTTGCATCCTGGCCCACCGTTACCCTGCTTGGGGGATGTGAATGTCGGCTCTCCTAAGTGTAATGCTGACGAGCAGGGTTGTGAAGCCTCAAGGAAAGGTCCAAAGCGCTTAGCACATAGTAGGCACTTGATGAGTGACAGCTGACAGATGCCTCTTATTCAAGGGATCATAATGTAAAAGTCTGAAATGCAGTTTTGTTGTCCGGAATTAATAAGGTGGCTCTCACATCCGTTTTGCTCACATTTTTGGTAAACTGAATTGGTTTGAACTTAAGCTCAGTTCTAGCCGTGACCTCTCAACTTTCATAGGTTCACAGTCTCTCTTTTTCTAGGAACTTGGCTGTGTGTTGCCTGGCCCGGAGACAAAGTCATTTGTTGTAGACCCGGCCTCCGTTGCTGCCTTTGAAGATAAGGAAAGGTGGGTAGATCAACACAACATAGAATTTTCGGAGAGATCTCATTTCAAGGCTTCATAAGTAATGAGAACCACATGGACATGTTGAGGAGATAGAACTGGCCTGAGTCTGAATGAAAGGATGATGTGCACCCAACCTATAACTAACACCAAGGAAGCCAAGTGGCAGAAGGTCTTGTATGAGCGACAACCCTTCCCTGATAACTATGTGGACCGGCGTTTCCTGGAAGAACTCCGGAAAAACATCTATGCTCGGAAATACCAATATTGGGCTGTGGTGTTTGAGTCCAGTGTGGTGGTACAGCAGCTGTGCAGTGTCTGTGTTTTTGTGGTTATCTGGTGGTATATGGATGAGGGTCTTCTGGCGCCCCACTGGCTTTTTGGGGCAGGCCTGGCTTCTTCACTGCTTGGGTATGTTTTATTTGATTTCATTGACAGAGGCGAAGGGCGGAAGAAGAGTGGGCGGACCCGGTGGGCTGACCTGAAGAGTGCCCTGGTCTTCATTACTTTCACCTACGGCTTTTCACCAGTGCTGAAGACCCTTACAGAATCTGTCAGCACCGACACTATCTATGCCATGTCGGTCTTCATGCTGCTAGGCCACCTCATCTTCTTTGACTACGGTGCCAATGCTGCCATTGTATCCAGCACACTGTCCTTGAACATGGCCATCTTTGCTTCTGTCTGCCTTGCCTCGCGTCTTCCCAGGTCTCTGCATGCCTTCATCATGGTGACGTTTGCCATCCAGATTTTTGCCCTGTGGCCCATGTTACAGAAGAAACTGAAAGCATGTACTCCCCGGAGCTACGTGGGGGTCACACTGCTTTTTGCGTTTTCAGCCTTCGGAGGCCTGCTGTCCATTAGTGCTGTGGGAGCCATACTGTTTGCCCTTCTGCTGATTTCCATCTCATGTCTCTGCCCTTTCTATCTCATTCGCCTGCAGCTTTTTAAAGAAAACATCCATGGGCCCTGGGATGAAGCTGAAATCAAAGAAGATTTATCCAGGTTCCTCAGCTAAATTAGGGATCTCCATTACATTTCTAAGGCAAGCTGATAGGCTAACCTCCTAACTAGTATAAAATTTGTAGTCATTTTCTATTCTGAAAGCAGCATGCTGATATGATGAGAGAACAGAGATCTAAAGAAAAAAAAAACTAAAACAACCAAAGGGTGGTGATGGTGCTCAACCTGTTACTTTATGGATAAACAAGCTTTCTTGGACCCTCTTGAATTATTGCCTCTCATTTATTATTCACCGTAATAAATGAAGTGACATGGTTTCTATTAAATAACAGCACATCCATCAAGTTGTCTCATAATTTTTCTGTAAGCAGAAGGCAGACAGGCATGAAGAGTGAAGAAAGAATGTGTGTGAGAGAGAGAGAGAGAGAGTGTGTGTGTGTGTTTGTGTGTGTGTGTGTAAAGGCACTTCTCTACCCTTTTCAATGTACTAATGCTGGCTCTTTTATTAATCTAGAGCTCGGGCAACCTCTTTCAGGTCCCCTCCTGCTGTGGGAGCTTTTCTGTCTTCTTAATAAATCCTACTTCCAAAAAAAAACCTCTAGAGCTCAAATCTATGGCACAAGATACTGTGTTCGGTTTTGCTGCCCAAGATCATAGAATTGGTCACTTAACCTTGACTTAAAGTTTCTAGTTCTTGGTGACGCATGTACACAACTAATTATAAGGGAGAGTATGATGTGTCATAATACACAAGCAAAATGCTAAAGGAATTCAAGAGACTGGAGATAAAGTTCAGCTGGAATAATTAGGAAATACTTTTTTTTTGTAATTCAGGGTTAGGTATACAAATGTTCATTATGCAGGTACCCTTAGGAAAACTTTAAGAGAAGGTGACATTTAAGCTTAGTCTTGTAAGATAGGTGGGATGTAAGTATGCAGAAGATGATTTTAGGGAAACGTGGAAAAGGCCTGTAGGGGCCAGGTTAGAAGTGGAAGCAAGTAAAGCTGGATACTTTGGCTGGTGGCAGGTGAAAAGCTGTGGAGATAGAATACTGTGTCCATTGAGCTTGACTACTATTCAAGTGTTGTTTGTGTTCACTTTGCACCTAGCTTCAGACCCTTGAATTCCATATACAATTCTAAATAAAATACTGATAACTGTAAGTCTGATTTTTAACCCTTTGCACTTGGAGACATCTTGTGCATCACCTACCAGCAACTCTACCACACTTTTTTTACTAAATAGTGAAAAATGAATCTCTTCACATTAAATAGTATAGTGTTGGAACCAATTATTTTATTGTAATGATATTTGGCTTATAATGGAATTTTGGACATTCAGGAATAATTTGTGACAAAAAGCAAAATTTTATATATTTTTCTAATGTAATGTGCGAAACAGTCACAGGCAGGCATTGCAAGTTTATTGATATATGTTGTACAATAGTAGTTTGTTTGATGTCTTCCTCTTGGTGTTATTCTATTCAAGATGACAATGTAGTCTCGTTTTCTTCCTCCTACATAAATAATATGTAATTTGTTGTCCAGTCTGCACCACTGTGAAAGAACTTCATACATTCTCTTTCTATGTAACACCTGCTGTTTTTAAAAAAATGTATATTTCAGTATATAGTCCATCTCTTTATTTGCTTTTTTGTGCAGTTTGAATAGAAAACTTCAAGGAAACACATTTTTTAAAAATTTGTGCTGGCATAAATTTGTTCTGTATAATCACCAGCAATCTCTTTATGTCCCCCTGAGAGGGGACATCTGTGTGGTTTGCTAGATTTATGGGACATCTGAATGCAGTGAGTTAATAAGAAATCTGACTGTAAATTCTACCTTGAGTTTAAGTTAATCAGGCTAAAAATCACATTTGCAGGCAAAATGTGACTACTATGCCACACTTGTTCTTAGCACAGGTACAAAGAAGGGAAAGTGATTGATGGGGGTTCAGAGTTAGGAGGATTTAGGGAGGAGTGTTGGGGAAAGTTGCAATGGGAAGTCTCAGCAGCAATTGGAAGTCTGAGTATTTAGTGCTTTCGGCTCTATCGAGGGCAATTCAGCTCGTCTAAGGAGAGAACAAGTGATCAAGTCTTGGGCAACAACTGTTCTGTGTCTCAGTTTTTATCTACCTACTTCTAGAATTGTGATTAAATGAGATACATTTGACACAAAGCACTGTATTAGTATTAGCCACTGTTGCTTTTAAGTTGACTTGTAGGAAAACTTGAGGAGAGCAGAGATGGGGCAAAGTGCAGCGAGTGTCTCCCAGAATAGCTATTGCTCCTGTAGTGATTCATTTGAGGCAAGTTTCTTTATTGTCCCTTTATCACTAGAACTTAGTTTCAAGTCAGAAATTTCATTGGGGAGTGGCATTTCTAAGAAGTAATGTTTTTATTTCTCTGAACATAGATTTCTCAAAAATGTCTTGAACTAGTGTCTTCAGCTCTGTCATCTCACATTCTTTTTCTGGTTTTTATTTGGACAGATGGTTAAAATGGGTGGTTTTCCCTAAGACCAGTCACACAGCTTTCATGTGTCCCAGGACACTGGCCAATGGGGAGAGAAGGGTCTCAGAGACCTGTGCAGCCCGAAGCACCAGTCCACTGCCTGTGTTGGGTTTGGTCTTCTCACGTCTCAAGAGAGGTCGGAATTGGCTTGTTCTGTAGTCCACATCAGGGACAGCACAAGGTGTTGATAGTTGAAGGTAATGTGCAGAGTTGCATGAAATTGTGGGATTTGTTTTTTAAGTTTAATACATCTGTCTTATTGAATAGGTTTCCAATTGTCAGTTTCAGGGAGCTCACATAACAACTGCATTCGTCTTGGTAAGCACAAAGTTCCCCAAGCTCTCAGGAATAGTCCCTTGGTGGGCTGAATTAATGTGTCTGTGCTATCATTTTCAGCTTTTCCCTGTCACTGTTTAATGTTTGGAGTCACACAAGCCCTGATCTTGCACAACTTGGTGGTTGTAGAAATTTCCTGGGGAGATGGTAGAGGATGGAGAGTTGTGGGTAGAGGTGAGGGTGAAGCAGAGACTCAGCGAGGACAGAAAAGAAGTGTCTGTGGGGAGAAGGATGCGACACCCAGAGGGAACAGTATGTGCCAAGGTGCACAGGACCTGATGCGTCCTGGTGGTGGAGAGCAGCATGGGTGACCTGGACTGAGGGCCGAGAGTGCTGAAGATTTCACATTGTTGGGTTCTGTAGTCAATGGCAAATTCAGGAACTTTTGAAAAGAGATATGATCAGAGTAGACAGAAAAATCATCAACACAAAGTGTGTATATGGCATATATGTGTGTATTTATCTATAGAGAGATAGCTTATAGGCACACCTCAGATACTGTGGTTTGATTCCAGACTACTGCAATAAAGTAAATATCACAGTAAAACGAGTCACACAAATTTTTTGGTTTTCCAGTGCATATAAAAGTTGTGTTTACATTATGCTGTATATGCAATAGCATTATGCATAAAGAAACCAATGTACATACCTTAATTTTAAAATACTATTTTGCTAAAAAAATGCTAATGGCCATCTGAGCTTTCAGCGAGTTGTAATCTTTTTGCAGGTGGAGGGTCTTGTCTTGATGTTGATGGCTGCTGATTAATCAGGGTGGTGAGTGCTGAAGGCTGGGGTGGCTGTGTCAATTTCTTAAAATAAGACAGTAATGAAGTTTGCTGCATTGATTGACTCTTCCTTTCATGAAAGATTTCTCTTAGTTTGGGATGCTGTTTGACAGCATCTTACCCACAATAGAACTTTCAAAATGGGAGCCAATGCTCGCAAACCCTACCACTGCTTTATAAACTAATTTCGTGTAAATCCTTTGTCATTTCAACAATGACCACAGCATCTTCACCAAAAAAGTGTCCATCTCAAGAAGACAATTTCTTTGCTAAATCCTAAGGAGTGTTCTTTATCAGTTCAAGTTCTATCGTGAGATTGCTGCAATGCAGTCACATCTTTAGGCACCCCTTCTAATTCTAGTTCTCTTGCCATTTCCACCACATCTGCGGTTACTTCCTCTACAGAAGTCTTGAACCCCTCAGTCATCCATGAGGGTTGGAATTAACTTGCTCCAAACTTCTGTTAATGTCGATACTTAGACTCCTCTCACAAGTTGCAAATGTTTATCCAAATCATCTATAGCCTTATGAAAAATATATTTTTTTAACTTTTAAATTTTTTATTTTAAAATTGTGGGGTACAATTCAGGGTTAGGTATATAAATATTCATTGTGCAGGTGCCCTTATTGATGAGGTGTGCCCCCCCTTTCCCAAACAGATTCCCACTACTGCCACTCCCACCTTCCTGCCCCCCACACCCCCGCAGTTTCCTGCTACTGTCAATGCTTTTCTTATAGCATTAGGATAGTTGTTCAAGGTCCACTTATGAGTGAGAACCTGTGATACTCTGTTCTTTGTTTCTGTGAGAGATCACTCAGTATTATAGACTCTTAAGTCCATCCAGGTTGCTGCAAAGTTTATGATTTTGTTCTTCTTTATGGCTGTGTAATATTCCATTGTGTATATGTACCACATTTTTTAAAATCCAGTTCTATTTTGGTTCCATGTTCTTGCTATTGTGAATATGCTGCAATAAACATATGTGTGCAGGTATCTTTTTTATAGAGTGATTTGAGTTCTTCCGGGTATATTTCCAGTAGGGGGATTGCGGGGTCATATGAAAGGTCAATTTTTAGAGCTTTTAGGAATTGCCACACTGTTTTCCACAGAGACTGTACTAGTTTACACTCCCACCAACAGTGTAGAAATGTTCCCTATTCACCACATCCTCTCCAGCATCTGCTATTTTTTGAGTTATTGATGATGGCCATCCTGACTGGCATTAGGTGGTATCTAGTATAGTTTTAATTTGCATTTCTTTGATGAATAGTGAGGCTGAGCATTTTTTCATGTATCTGTTAGCTGCTCGTATGTCTTCTTTTGAAAAGTGTCCAGTCATATCTTTTGCCCACTTTGTAATGGAGCTGTTTTTTTTTTTTTTCTTTTCAGCACATTTGAGTTCCTTGTAGAGCCTAGATGTTAGGGCTTTGTCAGACATAGAGTTGGCAAAGAGTTTTCCCCAGTCTGTGGGCTGTCTCCCTCCTCTCTTGATGTATTATTTGGCTTTGTAGAAGCTTGTCAGTTTGATGAGGTCCCACTTGTCTCTGTTATCTCGTATGGCATGGGCACTTGAGTTTTGATCAGGAATTAGTTGCCAGTTCCAATTTCCATAAGGATGTCTCCTGCATTTTCTAAGGTTCTTACAGTTTGAGGTCTTACGTTTAGGTCTCTGATCCATTTAGAGTTGATTTTTGTGTATGGGGGT